TTTAGTGAGTTTTGTATGGGTTTTGTGTTTGTTTGCTCGGTGTTTGTTATTGAATCGAAAACTCATGAGAGAAGGATGGTTGGTGTTTTTGGCTTGATTTGATGTTATTGATTTATATTATGTTTTAATCTTGCTATGGTTTGTGGTTTGGATTTTTCTTTTTCTTTTTTTTTTTTTCAATTGCCTGTCTTTCTTTCTGCTTCCTTGGAATCCCAGGGCCTGGTTCGAATTCGAACATAGTCATTGGGTTCCTTTGAACCCAGTGGTAGAAAATTAAAAAATTTCTTTTTTTTTTGTTTTGTTTGTGAGTTTTGTTATTTGATGATGATGATGAAGCCACAATGGTAGAGATTAGTTGAGATGTTTGGATTTGCAAGAGTTGAAGAAAGAGAAAGGAAAAGAGGAAAGAGAGGAACAAAAAAAATAATAATTTGTTGGAAAGAATCCGAGGTGGATTTACTGACATGTTAAAAAATATCCAAGTTGGTGCTGACATGTAAAAAAATATCCAAGTTGGTGCTGACATGTAAATTTATAACGGAAGCAACTATGCACGTGTAGCACGTGATCGTTTGACGTTAAATTTTGCCTCATATTCTCAAATTAGAAATCATAAAGGGTAAAAGTTTATATATTGAAATATGAAGGGTAAAACGCTTCAAATTCGAAATCTTTAAGAGCAAACGGGTACCTTTGCCATTATAAAAGAGCCCATAACAAAGTTGTGACTCTCCCACTTTCATATTTTCTATAATTTGTTTTTCTTCACATCTTTCTTTTTTATTTTCTCTCTCTTCCAGGGACCTTTGCCCGTACCAAAAAAGAAAATAAAGAAATGTAGTTTCATGTTTAATCACTACCTTAATAACCAATATACTTGCATTGAGTACTGTTGAATTCATGCATCTCTAGTTGAAAAAATCACTCCTTAAAGAGCTTGATGTCAATAGCCGGTATGACCACAAATTAAAAATCTGGTTTTCTTTAAGAGTTTGATGTCAATAGCCGGTATGGCCATAACTTATAATCACTAAATTAAAAAAGTTAAATTTAAAAAAGTAAAAAAATATATAAAAAATTATAAAAAATGAAAGAGTCGAACCTTAGATTACAAATTACCTTAGAAAACGCCATAACCTTAATCGAGGCATCACCTTCTTCCAGACGCCACCTCCGGGCATGCAAAGTATTCTCCATGGAGATAGCATAGGATCATTATTCCTTAGAACTTAGTGTTTGTTTAACTTCTTATGCACCAAAAAAAAAAAAATTACCTTAGAAAACACGTTACCACGAGCCCTTTTACAATTTCTTTAAACGTTATTTGTAATGGAAAAAGTCCATAGCGTGAAGTCATGTTGGAGAGAGAAGGGTTATGGGTCCTTGTACAGACAAATAGATATTTAATTTACATCATTAAATTTTGGTAATTTTTTTTAAATCATGTAATTTAAGGGTTAATTTTGACTTTATTTAATAAATCATCTATTAACTATTTTTTTTTTCATTTTAATCTAAATATTTTATTTTCTTTCAAACCCATCTATTAACTTTCAAAACCATTTTATTTTCATCAATCCAACAAAACACTATTACTCATCTGTTAACCACCGTTAACCACATTTATAGAAGTTCCAGTTTTTAATTATGTGGCGCCATGCAAGTTGCTCTGTAACACCACATAAGTAAATTACTGGCCTAAAAAAGGGAGGAAAAATTCTAGAGCATTGTTTCTCTTTTATTTATTTATTTATTTTTTGGTGGCAGGTGCAAATTTCTTGTCTCAATATTTTTCTTTAATTTTTTTTGCCATTGTTTCCTTTTAATCAAAACAAAATCTATTATTAGAAAAATAATAAAACTAAAATATAACATTTTAAAAAAAAATTTAATTTAACAAGTGTCTTTAAAATACAAATTAAAATATATTTATCATATATTTTAATAAA